ATTACCGAACCGAGCATGACCACCGAGGAATAGCAACAAACGAACGAAGGCCCGATTGAAAGTTACGTCGCCCACCAAGCTTAGCCCAAGGCCCAAACATTATTTTTTAAATCATCATTTTTGGTTCCTTGCATTACCGAGGGATATGATATTTTCCCATAAATCCAGAAACGCCAAGCAACGTAATATTGAGAATTTTAACCGTGTTTTCGGTAACATTTAGCTAGATGCTAAGTGGACAAACCGTATAGAAAACCTAGAAAATTTGGTATTTCTATCGAAAATCAACGATTGTTGCTTGAAAAGTCGATATTTTTGTATTTATTAAGAAAAATCTACAGTTAGGAACAGTAGAAAAATCATCTAAAAAGTTCTACCGTATGAAAAATTCGGGTCCTAAAGAAAATGGCCCTTCCCCGGTAATGCGAAAGCACCAATTTGTCATTAGAGTAACCGAACCCAAAATAGACAGAGATGATGTCATTAAATTGTTTGTATACTCGTGTTGCCGTGTTACGCGAATATTTTATGGCTGGCTGTTTCGTTTCCGGTTTGATAAGCCTCGTTATAAATCGAGAGTTCAGCTTCGAAATCAGACTTCTTCAGGTTCTCCTTACCAAACTAGCCACGCCCCTTCTGCTATGTTAAAGTGTGACCTGTTTAAGGGCCTTATCAAAAAGTTCCCTCCCCTCGCCAACTGTTACTCATCTTTTTCACCCGCCTTCAAAATTCGTCTTGGATTCCGACGCGGTCTAGTTATCTATCAAAATTCATACCTTGAGTCATCACCATATTTTTCGGTGCTGTTCTCTGACATTTGGGTGCATTAAATCGAGTGTAGTATCTATCGTATTAACTGTTTGGCAATTTTTGAATAGTACGCGATTTTTTTTAAGGAATTCAACATTTTGGATACTGTAATTTAAAATTGTTAATTGGCCGGTCGTCAAATGATCCTTCCCCCGGATTTTCCATCGATTATGTCTGGCCCTTAATACGTTTCCGATCTGAAATTTGCTTATGGGATCTATTGAAACACTCTTTTCTGTGCGGGTAAACAGATGCTAAATAAATTTTCTACTTTATTTATCGTATTAACGAAACATGTTTCACTTGAGGGTTTAAACGTAAATGTATCAAGGTTCCGACGATCTTCAATTACTGTACTACGTGTTCAAAAAACCTAAAAACTTTTGCTTAGAAAAATTATTTTACTACCGGTCTGCGCTTTCCGTTGCGTATCGAAAAACACGAATGTTTCTGGATTTTAGGACTATCTGTAGCTGGTGAATCCCGGAATCCCAGAACGAAACTAGTTTGTGATCTAAAATTGTTTTAGCCTCGTGTTAAGGTAGCTATTTAATTACTTTTTCCAACCGAGTAGTGCAACCTTCTAGGATCACGCTGCCATGGCAATTTTCTTAATTAACTTTTATTTCTTAATTTTACCTATAAAATTACTATTTTTACTAATTTATTTACTGAATTACTTTTTTATACCAAATTAAGAATTTACTAAATTGATTTACTAATTTACTAAACTGAATAACTAAATTGAATTCTTAATTTTGTCTACACTCCCTGTTAACAAGCCAGAAAATGCTGAAATCGTGTTTCATGGAATCGAGGTTATTTGTAGCGTGGTTGAAACATATTCCTGGAACCACATATTTCCGCAATTTCGACTTAATTATCGAGTTCAACAGCTTATACAAAATCCACTGTGCCAATTTTTCTTTAATTTCGTATTTCGTTGGCACCCTGCCAACGCGATCCGACTGATCGGCATTAATCTATAGACAATGGCTGTCACGAGACACCGACGAATCTTTTTGGGGCGGACCCTCTACCGGGGGTGGCTTATCTCCTTTCCCCCCTTCCTCGGCTTCTCCTTTTTATATGGAGTCGAAAGGTCCCGGAGAGTCCGAAGGGCGGCCGTCATTCGCCCTTTTCCGCTTCTTACCATTCCGCGATATTACGCGACACTCCAAAATACACTGTATCCTGCCCGGGATCTTTGGTTTTTGCGTCGAATTGTGCTTTTCTAGCTTTTAACGTGTTGAAGGGGCCAGGCAATGCATTAATATTACTTCTTTCGCCGCCGCGATACGCAACGCGCACGCGCTCTGCCCGGTTTAACCGGTTACGCAATTATATTCCGCTTCTAACCTTTCCCCATTATGCGACACTCCAAAATACACCGCATCCAGGCCGCGCGCTTGGTTTTCGCAGCGAATTCTGTTTTTTTCTGACTAGGAAGGGCCAGGCAAGACATCAATATTGAGTTTTTCGCGGTAACGAGTCGTAACGCACACATGCGCTTCGACAGTTTGAAGGGGTTTAACCGGCTACGCAATGACTTCCTCCTTCGACGCTTTTCCTATTACGCGACACTCCAAAATCCACCGTATCCTTGTCGGGATCTTTGTTTTCGTGCCGAATTCGGATTTCTTTTCTGGCTTTAGGCATCTTAAAGGGCCTGGCAAGGGCCAAAAATCGATTTTTCCGCATCCCCGACACGCAGCGCGGGCGCCTAGGGTCTAACAGATTACGCAATGATTCTTTCCCCTTTTCACTTCTACTCTCGAAACAACTAAATTATCAAGCAAGAGCCGCTTCCTGCTTCCTTTTGGATAATTCCTGACAATGCCAGAGAACCCCCAGAATATAGTTTTATTGGCCCGATGCCAACGTTTTTCGAAATTTCGGCAAATTTCGAAAGAACATTTCGACATTACGAATTTCGACATTTTGAGCGAAACCCCAAAGGCCCTTCCAAATATAGCTTTATTGGCCCGACGCCAACTTTTTCGTAATGCTCCCCCCCCCGTGGCTGTGTTTTCGCCGTTTCCATCCCTTTATCATTTCGTCTTCTTTGTCTACAGGTATATTAGCGGCGGGGGGTTCGTAGCGCGTGGCAAATATTAGTCGGTCCGCCGGCAATTTGTGCGGCCCCCCTAGGGATTCAGAGATACAGACAGACAGACAAACACACAGACAGACAGACAAACACAGACAAACGCAGACAAACAGACAAAGAAAGCTTCTCCCCCATAGCTAATTTCCGAATTGATAACAAGCCTCCCCGAACCAAAAAGACTACGGTATTATGGCGCCCCCCAGAGACACCTGCCGATTCTGGATATAAACAATGTGAAAATCGTACTTGGCATTTTAGATACCAAGTTTTTAAATTTGATTTATTTAATTTCTAAAGTTAAATTTAAACTTGAATTTTTAAAATTGAGTTTTGTAAAAAACGTCGCATTCATGAAGCTAAAGAAAGATCCGCGCATTTTAATGTTTTATGAAACATCTTATATGATCAAAAGGCGTAGATCAAAAACATCTTTTCTTAAAATTAAACGTTTTTTCCTCGATAGCATTGTTACAATTAAAACCCAGTTATTCGAATTTTAGTTTTATTAAACAAATTTAAAACATTTTATAAAAAGCTTAAGGAGATTTGGCAGGTTTTGATTCTTTTCATGCTCGAGTGATTTGCTTTGTAGCTTGTGAAATTGTAAGGATACCAATAGAAGACGCCTAAAGTTTTGATGAAACATATCATCTCCAATTATGGTCTGTTATTAAATAACCCAAATTCGTTAAAAATACTGAAGATATGAATAAAATAGGCTGAAAAGCTAATGCTAAAAAATCTTTGCGTCGTGCCCAATAGTAGACGCCAACTAAATTTAATGCATCCATTCCCCCGAAAATGAGCAAGAATTTTCGTCCAGCGTAGTTTATTCAAATTCCCTTGCCACAAAACAGCCGTCAGAAAATTCGAGAGTATTGTAGATTTCTGATTCTAGTCAGGACGCAGGTGATACGGACCGCTACGGCCCGTGATAAATTACGAAACTTTATCTGCCCCCCGCGTGTGAGCAAGACAAAATGACTCGCGGAATTTCATGGCTGTAATCCATTCCCTTATCAAAATGACTGAACGAAAATGCTGCATAAAAGCGTCAGCATACCCAAGGAAATCCATTCCGGAAGGCGAGGCCTCCTTCGTTTAGGTTTAGGCTCTTCAAAACTGGGAATTATTCTTTTCTATCACGTCTTGTCACTTTTAAAATGTGAAACATTATTTTTCGAAAATGGCTGGAAAATTATTGTACTTTGGGATTACGGTAGATCATAAACATAAAAATCATAGCTAACTGTTTTTAAGCCGAACAAATAAATATTCCTTTGAAACGTCTGGTTTTCGAAGTGTATGTTTCACCCTTTTGTAAATTATTCCAGCGCCCTATTTCTAGAATCCACTTCTTCGTTCTTCTAAAAATTTCTTTCTACAAATTCCTCTTCTAACGCTTTGTAAGCCCTAGAACCCGCAACATTATTTTTCTAAAATTTAAATCGAAGATTTAGAACACTAGGATGCAGTATGTAGTCACACGTAATATGTTAGTGTAATTCTATTCTATTTCGGAAATTTGGAATATGTGTTTCATATATTTGCCTAGTCAAATCGATTTTCAAAACTTTAGGCAACTTTTCCCCTTAGCGTGTACGATGGCGTTTTGTTTCTTTGACAATAATTTTAAGGCCTAACCATAAGTCACCAGCCCCGGTGCTCCGAATTATTTTTCTTATGGCGCTATTGAAACATTTTTCGGCCTTTTACGGTTCTGGTTACGGTAGCAAACGGTAGAATTTCCATTCGTCAACAAGAGTAAAAAGCGCTTTCGACCGCCTAAACTCACATTCTCTTCAAAATTTTGAAAAACGAGGTTTCCCTTATCTAAAAATCAATTTAAAACATCCTGTTTTAATCCTACTTCTCTTGTCAACGTGCGCTCTACTTAAAAAGTACCTTGGAAAAATTATGTTTCATCAATATGCCAAAGCTGATTGTTTTTGAAAACTTAATTAACCGTTCGCACTTCACTTGTCATTTACGTTGTCCAATAATTTCTTCACTTTACGTGGTATTTTAATCATATTTTTAAAACTATTTAATTGTTTTCAGCTCCCCTTCCCCATTAAAAATGAGCCCTTTGAATTTGAATTACGGGTCCGCCGGTCTGCTGGCCTCCCAAGCCGCCTCCACGAGTTTTCCGCTCTTCCCGCAAATGTGTAAGTTTTGATAAATTATAAATTCATTTAACTTTTTTAATTTGACAATATTGTATGCTTATTTTAGCCATTAGATTTTGCTAATTAATTCCATTTTTCGAAAGCTTGACGATTACGCTTTCGCAGCCGAGCAATTAACCGACACCCCGGTTAATGACAGAAATCGATTAAACTAATTTTTTTACAACATCTAAAAAACGTGATCGGCATTTTTTCAGAATGCAGTAAAGCTAAATGTTCCACTGAATGTAAAAATATATGTCGCTAAAAAAATTTTAAATTTGGCTTTTGGAGAACAGCCATAGAAGAGACCTTTTGAATTTTGTATTAGACAAAGTAGTGGGTAACGGGCTGAAAGTACAGCATGTTTAATTACACTGGTCATGACACTATTAATTATCCGAATTTAGAAAAAGTAAGAATGATTGTCCCTAGATTTCTGTTAATGTATACCCAACTAATTAATTTTATTACCAAAATTCTATGAAACTCAATTTCTATAAAATCCATTTCAGTCTATACTCTGCCGTTCACCACTCCGGCGGCTGTCATTTCCCCTCCCCTCGACCCGAATGCAAATCAAAAGATCGCCGAAGAGATTACGGTAATTTTAACATCTCGCTTGAAATTAATCTTTACTTAATTTCCTAAATTATATAGTGTTTTAGCCTCTCCAAAACTCGGCCCCGTCTTCTCCGGAAACCGACTCGGAAAGCCGCGGCGTTACTGTCTATAAGGTGAGTATTCTACGGTAATCTTAGCCGGAAACTACGGTATTTCAAGTTTTTTTGAAAGGCTGATTTAAATCGCTATCGGCGTTGTTCTATGTAGTATCAGCTATTACAGTAATTCGGCATACCAGTAAATATTCAAAATTTTTGGCGACTAGATAGATTTTTGATGCACGCTTTTTTTCTGAATATCAGCAGAAATCGTTTGTTACATTATATTTACTATTCATTAACCGGATACCGCATCAATTTAATTTTACCATACAGCGAATTCGACGTATTGAACGTTACGAGTTTTCAGCGAGTAGATATCGTTTTGAAACACATTTTTTAATCGCGAGCTTAAATGACCTAATTAACAACAAGTAAATTCTTTTGGCTTTATGCTTTTCGAAACACATGTCTTTTTCTGGTTTCAGGTTATACTTTCGACTTTTTTAATACGTTTAAAGTATCAAATGCCTACGAGCCTATAAGATTCCTTCCAGCCGTCCACGATCAGATGTTTTGCACATCTGGCAACTAGTCATATTTTTGAAACAAAAGTCTTTAAGGACCCACAATTAGTTTTGAGGATGTCGTTTTATGAAGTTTAGCCACTATAACAAATTGTTTTGTAATAATCTTTATTAAAGGGCATGCGGGTGAAGCGTGGCCGCCCTCAGCAGGAGATCGCCGATGATGAGGAGGACCCGGGAAGCCAGAAGAGGAAGCATCGTCGTCTCTATGCCCGCCAGTACCGTGCACAGGTAAATTAAATTTGCGCTTTACTTTAACGACATTTCAAAATATATTGAAAAAGAGCCTGTTTTATAACAGATTTTGGTATAATTAATAGGAAAGGTCTGTAGCACAACGCACCTCGGTTACAATATTAACGAGCAAAAATAGCACGGCGCAACTAATTTTTCTGAGACATTTTTTCACAAAATGCCGATTTTTTGGATTTATTTATCTAACACTCAAAAAAGTAGATAATAACTTCTTAGACTAGCAGCTAGTCAATTAAACTTGTTCTTAACTAAAATTAGCATTACGCCTCGTACTACCCTCCCTTTTGAAGTATGATTTTATAAAACATTTTTTTGCTTAATTGTTTCTTTTTTAGCTTTCGTCTGCCAAACTTCTAGGACCTGCTATTAAAACAGGGTTTAGAATTGCGCTGCGAAATTTAATCGAAATTACGAGTTTTAGAAACGCGCATTTTGGTTATCAACGTTCATGCTTCTTGATAATAAAAGCCCCGCCCGCAAACCCAAACCTAAAATTGGTTGAAGCATGTTTTCGCTAAATTTTTCTTAGCTTACGCTGTGACAATTACCATAACCCCCAAAATTTGGGTGTGGCTGTTCAAAAACTCGTGGGTGTGATTTGTGAGTAATCCGAGAGCTCAAAAAACGTATGAAACATTCTTATCACCCATTGCTCAACCAATCGTTTTTACGCTAAATTCGAAAGTGTCTGCGACACGTGGCGCGTCATGGTGGCAACGTAAATGTCGGACAACTTTGTAGTGAGAGATAAGGAGAAATCAAAAACGGGATTTAAGAGCATCCAATAAAAACGATTGCTAGATTAAAAAATGTTTCATCAAACTTGAAATATAATGGGCTGTGAAATTTATTAATGGTTCCACAAGCACGCATCTGCTAATGTGTCGATCAGAAGAAAACGTTTCAAAGAATTTTCAGGGCCGAGAGTTTATTAGGATTACTGTTACAATTTTTACCCTGGAAATTGTTTCAAAAATTATTCAAAAAATCGGTTTTAAGATATTGATAGTGTTATCCAATTTTTTTCCTAATTAATACTTTAAAATACAGGCACAAATACTGGCTTTTTCAGATGCGCAACAAGATCGACGAGGTGAAAAAGCTGCAGGACGAGCTGGAGGCTGCGAAGAAGAAGCACCAGGACGAGGTGGCCCAGTTGAATCGGTTCGTTTCCTTTAAATCACTGAAATTAATTAATCTTAAGATTTGGGCACTGCACTATTAGCGGGGGGGGGCGGCTTTGAACGGTGGAAACCATTTTTTTGCCACTAATTCCGTATGGCTCTGTAACGAGATATATATCATTTTATAGCATTTACACAGTCTTTATAAAAAAGCTCATTAAACGGTAAATTTTGACATTTTGAGGCCAGAATGTACGAAAAATTACCAACAAACGTAAAAATTTTCTATTTTAGAAGATTTAGGGTGTAGCATTTTGATAAATTCCTACCTATAGAAAATAGTGGTAGTATTATCTCCTCCCCTTTAACTCTCAAGTAACTGAAATTTAATTACGGAAATTCTTTAACGCTTCGCTAGCATATTTTTAAATCAATAGATCGTAACCTGATTGCTTTTCGAATTACCGTTTCAAAGCGACATTTGGCATTTAAATATTGCGAAACATTTTTTTATTGTCCTTTAAACAATCCTATCTGCGAATTTTCAGGACGATCATCAGCCTGATCCAGCTGAATCAGCAGCTCCTCCCCATCCTCAACCCCGGCATGCAATTTAATTAAATTTAATTGATCATTATTTTTGAATACACACCCTTTTGCGTTGACCGATTATAACCATTAATTCATGCCAGATTTTGCTAGCAAATATTTAATTTTTCACAATTTTTATCGTCAACTAGAAAAGTTTTTTTCAAAAAAATGCTAGATTTTATTTAGCGTATCCCAGCCATGAAAGAAAGCTGCAAAATTAGTTGATTAGCATTTATAAAGTAAAACAAAACATTTTTTGGCCTATTTGTGCCTTCATCGCATTAGTAGAACACCTATTTTTTTTGATTTTGGAATTTCACGAAACATTAAAACACAAATTTTTATTTTTTAAACTTGAAGTTTCAATGAACTAATTAATTTTTGCGGCTTTGCTTCGGTTTTATTTCCTTGCCCGTGCTTCCGAAGCACTGTAATTACGGAATTGTACGTATTTCTTTTTTTTTGAATTTTTGCCATCCGCTCGAATGCCCGCTCAGCGAAACATCCACCCCCACATAATAGCCCTCAATTTGTGATTTGTGCGAACCCCCCCGTTCTCCCATGAATGCGTGTTAGGCCCTTTGACATTTCCCATTTAACGCACTACCAATATTGTAATTACGATTCGCGATGCGAGAATAAAGAATTTTCTTTCCTGTTAAACGTGCTGACTAGGCCTAAATTTTCGATTTTTGCCTGAAAATTAACAGAAACACATTTTTAGAGACCATTTCACAAGATATCTTAAGGATACTGGCTTTATGCTGCGTTTCCTATTTAAAGGGCACGTTCAGGGACGTTTTTTTGGCAAAAAAAGATTTTTGCCGCGGGCGGGGGTCGGACCCGGGCCCCCCGCTCGGGAGGCGCGGATGGATACCAGTCGGCCATAGCTACAACCTGGCGAGGGGCTCCCCACCCCGCAACGGAGGGAAAGTGCCTCCCACGGCACGGGCAGGCAGTGCGCGCGGTCCCAACGTCCATAGGGTGTACACGTTGGGACGAGTACACGGCCCCTCCCTGAACGTGCGCTTTAACGCTCGACCAACATTGCAATTACGATTAATAAAAAAGGTTCTTGCAAGAACCTTTTTTTATAATTTTTTATAATATTTATTTTTTTATTTATCAAGTTAACAAACCCTTGCAAAAATGTTAGGGAATCTTCACCTTGTCGACTAGCAAAGTCCCTAACAAGTCCATAAAAAAGGCGTTAGCCAAAGAATTCATGAAACCCATTTCGGTCGGACTTGCATTCGAACCAGATTTTCGAAGCCCATCAGAAAATTTTGAGAAACACATTTTCTTTCAAAATTTTGGAAGATACCTTTATAAAACGCACCTTGTTGTTATACCTAAAATTTTCAAATTATTTTTATTTTTGGGTGTTTTAACGCGATCCGATAGAACATCTAAAAATATTTAAGTAATTTCAATTAAAGTCCTCCAGTAGCCATAGAAAAAACGAAAATAAACCTAACTCCGATTTGCGCGATTACGAAACTTTTTAGCATTCTCTTAACACGTTTTGATAGATCATCAAAAAAAATACCAAAAGTTTTAATTACCGTACAAAATAATGCAATCTAGATGGAGAAACCATCGACAACCCCCTCCCGCTAACGCACCAGTACCTGAAACAGCGCTGCGTGCCCTCTAGTCAGGGTAATTTCAGGAATTATATAAGGTTTATGCAATTGAAAAGCAGGTGCGCCGAGGATTTATCAGATCTGTGTTTCAAAATTTTCTAGGAACCTTGGCGGATTAGTAAAGATAGTTGAACGCTCGTTGCAACCGGGAAAATCAGGGAAACAGATAATTTAGCAAACTTTTCTCTCACTTCCGCTCTCGCTCTGTCTAACTCAGTCTCTCTCTCTCCTCTCTCTCCCTCCCTCTCTCCCTCCCTCCCTCCCTCCCACTATTTTCACGGAATCAATGGCAAGTGTCGATTCGAATTCTGGTTCGACCCATTAAGGCAGATTCTGCACGACTCGGGGTCGAAGGTGAATGACAAGCCGGCCCATTTGGAAAGTTTGTAAACGGGTGAAAAAGGGCGAGCTATCGGGAATAGCCGACCCCTCCGACGCACCGAATTACGTTTTCAGGCTGATAACAAGGATTGGGCGCACTTTTCGAGCAAACTATAGAGAGGTTTCCTTTTTGATAGTTCGCCCTTCATTGTTTTTGATTTGACCAAATCAGTGTTTCAGCACAATGTAAAGGCCAGGTTGGGATTCGTAAATGAGTCACTCGGACGTAGGTTCGCACTTCAAATAATCGATACCCAACAATACCTATTCGCCAACCCTTTATTCCGATACCACAAATCAAAATACCCTGGGGGAAAAGGGGCGGAAGGGCACGCGGAAAGGAACAAATCAATGCTAGTGGGACATGGGGGAGAGGGGACAACAGGGGTTCCCACCAAACAAATACACCTCTAGAAACGTCAGTTAAAGTCCGATCTGCTTCAAATTTTGCAGAAACATGCGGAAGCAACATCTGCATGAGCATGCAAAACCTTAATCCGATCCGGTCATGAGTTTTAAAGTTACGTCAAAAAACAATTTTTGTCGCTACCTTGGTGCGAAGTTCTGTACTTCTTTGGTCATAACTTTGCCGCCCATAATTCAATAGTGCTAGAAATTTGCATGAGTATGTAGATGCTACTCCCGCATATTTCTGCAAAATTTCAAAAAAATCTCACTTCAACGTACAATTCTAGAAGCAATTTTGATGGGGGAACCCCGAGTGGTAGTGGGGGAAATAGGTATGAGATGTTTTGTTTCTATTCGTAGACGTCGTCCCTCTCGATGCTGAACGGGGCGAAGATGCCGCGGATGCCGGTGCGCTTCCGGAAGTAGGGATCGCTGGAAATTGATATATTTGTTGTAGTTTGGTTTATTTCATTTGCACTAAAGTTTCTTACGAAGAAGCAGGTGAAAAGCCGTGTTTCTCGAGTTTTGATGCCCGTATTTGAATTAAATGGTTTAATAAGCTTAATCAATTTTTAATTGCATGAGGCAATAAATTATAACAACATTAAGCGAAGCCAAAAATAAAAATGTTACGAAAATTTTCCATTTTCTGGGCATCTGAGTGCTATTAATGATACGTACAATGTCGGAGGCGCCTATGATTTTCTTTGTTGTTATAAATCATTTAAGGATTAATTAAAATGCTTGCAATTAAATGCTATAGTAAAGTTTTTCCTGTCGGCAATATTATTTTTTTTATCCAGTCGAAAATTGCAGAGTAAGTCATTCCAAAAATTCTGCGATATCGCTGAGAAATCTCAATGTTTCATCACCAGATTGCATTAAATTGACAGATTTCGACAATAATTCGTCGTTACACGTAGCCTGAAACACCCACTTCTCCGGCGTCTTCGGCTTGATGCACTCGCGGCGGAAGGCGTCGATCAGGTTCTGCCGCTCGGTGCGGTCCACTACAAAACACGATTTTTAGGGTTTTTCTGAGTACCGTAGGCGATGGTCGAATTACAGGCTTCCGTTTTTCGGTAAGAGTCTAGAAAACCCCCCCCCCCCCCAGCCGGCACCAACTTTTGTATCTCGGCTCCCCTTTGCGCTAGCGAGCTCTAAAGTATACCAAAATGTTCGCCGTCGGCTAATTAGTAAGACTACATTGCAGTTCAGTCGAAAAAAGCAGCGAAAAATAAAAATAAGGAAGGTAGAAAAGTTGAAAAGTCGGCTGGGGGGGGGGGGAAAAGCTTTCTTGGCCTCAATCGTAAACACGGAAAAATTCAATTTTTAACAACCTTTAAAAACATTATGGTATCTATTGTTATCTATTACCTGTTATTACCTTTTTCGCAAAATTTACAACACCCCACATCAGCGTCAAACATGGCCTTGGCCCAGTCGATGCAGCGGCGCTGGTCAAAGTAGCACGACAGACGGATCAGGAACAGTGGATATTCACTGCAAAATGATCAAGATAAAGGCCGTATGTTTAAGAATATGTCTTAAAAAGAAACAAAAAGCTGCAGTATGCGCTTATCAAACTTCAATATGATATGGGAAATTCGAAACATGAAAATATATTTCGGCCCAAAGAATGTTTCAGCTATCGAGGCTCGATAAAATTGTTCGGCTTCGCTAATAGGTATTTTAATAGGCATGTCCAAAAATTATCAGCAAAAAAACGTACGCTTTTTGCGGGAGGCCGGTGCTGATCTCGGGGATGTTCTCCGGCTGCTTCAACTCCTCCTAGAAACAAGAAACCCTTTCACGCTTTAACACTTTTACTTTAATTTGATTTTAATTAAATTTTTTCAGGTAAAATTTAAATGAATAAAAATAAAAAAATTTTACGTTACTGATTTATTTAAGTTTTTAAACTTTCATTTATTTTGCTTTAAGTTTTGATCTATATTAACTGACCGTGATGGCTTTATAGGCTTCGTCGAGGCGTCCGTACTGCATCAGCCAGTTCACCATGAGACGCTGCAAAACATGCATTGTGGCATTGATAAAAATGGAACTTTCGAAACTTTTTCGAATCATCTCAAAAAAATAATGTTTTACGCTTGTGCCATTGCGAATTGAAAACGCGTAACGCAATCTTGTGGTACTTTGTTGAAAAAGCACCTCAAAAGGCTCGGGGTCGTTGCGTTTCGCATTCCAATCCAATAGCATCTGGACGAGGAGGGGCTGCACCTCGGGCCGTTCTTCGCTAAAAACCTGGCGTTTCAACCCTGCTACATTACTAAAAACACGAATCACACTATTTAAATACATATGCCCAAAATATAAATCCTATCCTATAAGCGAGAAAAGTATGTCTGTTTTCTGTACAGCCGATTTCTCGGCCGTCAGGCCGAATTTCGAGCTGATTTTTGGCACGGAGGTGTAGAAACACATTTGTCAGTGATGCATTTTTTTGTTTGGCGAATACGATTTTACAACCAAAATAGTGAAAAATCCTTAACATTTCGCTGAAAAAAACGTATGTCCGGGGGTTTTCTCGGCCGCTAACAGGAGTTGGGCGCTGATTTTTGGAGGGTGAATGGAAGAAACAATTCTCCCAATACTATTTTCTGGATTTTGCCAAATTCCTTAAAATAAAGTTTTTATGAGCAATTTACTAGAAGGTCCTTAATAAAATGGGCCAAGAGCCGTGGTGTCCGGGGCATAACTCGAAGCCCAGATGGAATTTTGGTCTGTAATTTGGTCCACTTATGTATTCGATAGTGGGATCACGCGCATCTTATTATTTTTGCAAATTTTTGCCGCATTCAGACTCAAAAAGAAAATTTTGTAAAGTTACCAGAAGTTCTCCCTCCCGGGGTGAGGACCTCCCCCAGGACAGAAGAGGGCTTTCCCGCCACCCATCGCCATCGCCCCGTGGTGTAGCGGATTGGCGCCCGGTCTAACAAGCGCGTGGTCCGGGGTTCGAATCCGCGCCGAATTTAACTTTTTGCTTTTTGATATTTCAACAACAAAACATATTGCTAGGCCCTCGGTGTGCGCGGTTTCGGCCTGGCCCTCGCTCTAGCGCCGCAGGCCAAAGAAAACGTACTTGGCCCAGGCTCTGGCGCCGCAGGCCAACGATGAGTCCTTGACCCAGGCTCTCGCGCCGCAGGCCAAATCCTCGAGAAAAACCAGTAACTAGCGCCGCAGGCTCAAAGATTCTAACGCAAGGCTGGCGCTGGCGCCGCAGGCCAAAGAAAAGGTCCTTGACTTACGCTTGCGCGCCGCAGGCTAAATCCGAGCGAAAAATCAGTAGCTAGCGCCGCAGGCAAATGAATGGTTCCTTGAGTCAGGCTCTTGCGCCGCAGGCTTCAATAAAAGGAAAGGGAATTCATGATTCCTAGACGGGGTCCAGTGGAAAAGGGCCGCGAAGCGGTCTTTTTCCACTGGTTTGAAAATAAAAGTAGTAATAAAATAGCAACAAAATAAATAAAGTTGCAAAAAGCGGCGCACTTCAACACCGAGTCGTAGAGCCGCCAATGGTTCGGGTGCTGGGCTGGATACTCGATCCAAGTCTGAAACACGAATTAAATTGAAAGAGAGGCAGAGAGACCGAGAGAGAGAAAGAGAGAGAGAGAGTGAGAGCTAGAGAGAGAGTAAGAGAGGGGGGAGGGAGAGCCAACCTCCCCAACAAGTCCTTCGTCCAGAGCATCAGCATAAAGCGCCAAGCGGGTCAGCGGCGTCACCTGGAATTTCACCGATACTAAATCACTCCAATCAAAGGCGCGTCACTAGTTTTGAAACATAATAACGAGTGCATCTTTAGCCGAAGCGAAAAACCTATCCGTATTTTTTCGAAAATTATGATGATTTGCGTTTCTAGAATGAAGGTCGGAACGTTGCATTTCACTGCTCTCAAATTTTACCTTCAAAGCCGCTTCCATGATTTTAAAAAATTCTGAAAAAACTTCGGTTTCAGGATTTTGCCTTGATAGAGCGTGGCGTTTAAACCTACTGACGAAAAAATTTATAGGGTTACTGCATAATAGCACCAGAAAATTAAATGCGATGCGAAAAACCGTAAAATATTTGGGTAATAACAAAATCTTCTCGGTGCGTAAACGACATTTTGAGTGTGCGACGATTACATGGTGTAATTCCTTGTTAGGCACCCAATTTCTGGAATTCGATGTTTTAATAATTAAAAAGTCTAGAATGATCAACATTCGATGAGGTTCACAGAAACAGTGCTAAAAATTCAAAAATTCACGCGTTTTTGCTTCCAAACAGGGGCAAAGTATCGTACGGCGCGGCCGTGTTACGGTCGCATCTGGCCATTTGCCAGGAATCATACAGGAGCCGTGGATTACACTTCTGAGCCCCGTTAAACGCTTAGCCTATCGTGTGTTGACGAATACCTCGCTGCCATCCATTACTAAAAAAATGTTTCCAAGCACTCCAAATACAAATATATTTTTGGTATACTTGATTGTTCGTCCGTGTGCGGTGTTTTCCGATTTTTCGTCGATAGTTATGCTCAAACTGACCGCATTCCAGTCAGCACTGCTGCGCAGGCGCTCGATCAGGTAGGAGAACAGGGTTTTCCACTCTGGAAATTCGAAAGTTTTTGCCAAGGGAATACAGGTTTGCCTTAAAAGTCAGATTAAATAAAATTTTGGATTAAATGGTTAAAAATTAGATTAAAATACGTTAAAATGGTTCACATTAATTCTAGCGGATCAAGCTCGATTTAGTTAATTAGTTTTTCAGGAACAGCATAAATTAATGAGGATGGCATTAAGGTATAAGATAAGGCAAGCCCTATGTAAAAAGAGTAGTAAACAAAAATCATCAAAGTCGCGGTAAAATGCTTACCTTCCCGGGAGTACTCGACCCGGTAGTACCCTCGGCCCTCCCATTTCAGGATGATCGGCACCCCGGACGTCTGCTTCACCACCATCGGCCACTCCTTGTAGCCTAAAGTGGGAAACATGGATTTGCCAATTTCTCGCAACCTGCCAAAATATATATATTTATTAATTTTAACGCATCATACCGTAATTTAAATTACTTTAAGCCATCCATAAATGAATTATACAAATACCCGGCGGGATCCAGTCGAACTGAATGGCAGCTGTCGGGCTAGTCCCATCCGGAGCCCAGTATTCGATCGGAATCGCCCACATTGCGTTTCGGCTGGAAAGTACAACGGAAAATTCGTATGTTTCGTCTAGTTTTGGTTAGCCGGGCGGTATTTTCAAGGCAGTGTTGTCGAGGTTTAGGTTTGTTAACTCCGCCATCACAAAAAAACTTGAAGCTGTGAGGGGTAACAAGAGATGAGCGGACTTTCCAATCGCTGTAAATCCAACAAGGGCCGATATTGTCGCAATTAAAATAGATGTTTCGCAAAAATTACGGACTGACTAGAACGTTCCTGGTCTAATGAACCCATTGAACCACCTGACTAATTTTTCGGCTCGCACTCCTGAGGCACAAAGTTGGGCTCGCTATTATTTCAAGAATTTTACAAGCTTTTTTAGCGATCCGTAAGAAACAATTTTTAGAAGTTCGTAGCACCCATGGAATCATGCAAAATAGTTGAAGGCACCTGAAAGTACGACGCGAAGCGGGGCGTTGCGTCAGCGTGCAAAAGTGCTCGTCGGTCTCGCAGTCGACGCGTACCACCGGGAAGCTCGGCTGAAACAGGTTTAAATTTGCCGTATCTTAGCGGCTATTGATTTTCACCTTATAGTGTTTCAGGTCTAGCCATAAACGCTGCCAAAAAAATTTGACATGTCCATAAATCAGACCCAAAAAGCACGCAGATACCTCAAGAACCCAGGGGCGGACGATTGTGAGTAGTGAAGAGACACCAGGCGGGAACTTGTAGCTGCTCGTCTGGCCGCCCGTCCACAATTTGTCATCTACCGGGTTGGAGTCGTCGGCGAAACGGCGCAGCGCTTCCTGTAGGAAATTGAATGTTTCGACAAACAAGTAGAAAGCCCCACTCTCCCTCTACGTTAGTGATTAGATGAATGGACCGAAAATTATTAAAACCCATACGTTACGTTTATCGCTTCATCGTCGGTCTATTTTCAGCCTGATGCCAATTACCGTAATCCGCTGACCTTAAGCACAAGAAAATAAAATTTCGCATATTTCCAAGAGATTTAAAAATGCGTCAAATTTTGATGTGTTTCATAAAATAATGGTCCTGAAGCCAGGATGACGTCGATAATCCCATCTTTTGCGAGCGTTTATGATAATTTTTTATTTGACCTTCTATTTCTAACAAAAAGCAACTTGCTGACCGAAATAATAAAATTGGTTCTTACATATTTACATTTTTATTACGCAAAAAAACTTACGAATTTAGATTAAAAAACACAAGAATATCGATTTTTCGACCAAAATTTTTCCTATAAATAATTTTTCGAACTTTTTTATTTTTTTCCATTACAATACAATTAAATTTTTCGAAAACAGCATTAAAATACATATAAAAACTATCAAAACCCCGATAACGCGATATATATCCTCGCCTTCATCCACGTCTGCTTGCCGTATGCGCTGCGGAATCCGAGCATCAGCGTGTCGAACACGGCCGTAGCCTTAAATAGCAATATTTTAAACAAAATTTTTTTCATCGAAATATAACATGGAAATAAAAATTTAAATCCCCTAAATGTGAAACCAAAATTGAATCAAGTAATAGGCGTAGAAAATTGAAAAATTTTTATAATTTATCAAAAAAGCGGACCCGATAGACGGTGCCCCGGGCGGTGGTCATCTCCTCCAGCTCGTCGATGGTCAACGATTCCAGCTGAAAATGCTCAACTTGCCCAGAATATTTCAAAGCATTTTGAATACGAGAGATTGAACTTCAGCATAATGAAAAATATCGAAACGGTAAACCGAATATACCATGCATTTTTGGGACAGAAAGGTTGTATGTTTGCAAAATATGTTTCTAAAATCGTAATAAAAATCGGATCAATACCGTTATTGTTGACGATTACCGGTCCGAAAAATTTAATTTTTGTTTTTAAAATCAAAATTTTTTCAAGTTGCAGTCAATAAGTAGCTAGAAAAAACCGACGTCCCGACTGGCCAGCCCGATTCTAGCTGTGGCGCCGGCGGTGAACGCGGCGCACATCACGTTCGAGAAGCGCAGTTTCTGAAACACCAGATTTTTTTAGAGAAAAACGCATGTTAAGGGCCTGAAATCTCTTTATATAATTCCGAGAAGCAGTGCTTTACGAAACTTTTAAAAAATGTTGGTTCTGGACTATTAGCGGGGGGGGGGGAGCACGCTTTGCCCTTGCTGAGCCCCCGCTAATAGTCCAGTACCCAGTTTTTCCGCCAATTTTTTAAGGCCAAAGCTCGGCGCGATCGTCTGCGTAACACTCAAATCGCCTTACCGATCGATACCTTGAAGTCGGATTAAAAGCCCGTAATTCCTTACCAAATGCGCAAAGGGCTGGTGCTTGTTGGCGAGCGTGACGTAGAGCATATGCATGGCCATCCCGTTCGGCACCCAGTAGTGGTTCCAGCTGCCCGGGATGTAGTTGCCCAGCATCAGCTGCAGGTTCAGATGTCTTTCTCGTTTTTTGTTTTTCCTTTTTAGCTATTTCAAAATGAACTCACGGCCCTCAGATGGTTCTGCGCGACGGCCTCCCACATTTGCATGTAGCGCGTGTAGCTGCAGTGCCCAGTCGTACACATCGTGTACTGTAAAATTAGCGTTAAATAAAAAGCGTTTAGATAATTTTATTTTAATTATGAAACGGGTAACTCACAAAAATTTTTGAAACCTCGAATTTTAATCTCATTTCAATTGTATGTGACGTTAATTAGTCGGAAATTTTTTACATTAACTTGGCGAGAATCCAAAACATTAATTTTCAAAAAAATTTCGGAATTTTATTTTTTTGTTAAATTTTATTTAAGTTTGTAAGAAAATGTTTCGTGTTTGTAGCTTGCCTCTTTAATACCCATTAAAAATAACAAACCCTTTCGCGGACCACGGACACCCAGGGGCTTGCCGTGTCGACGGCCAACTTGTTCGGCGCGACGCTGAGCGCTGAAAAATCAATGTTTATTAAGGCATAGGAACCCAGGTTCTTTATAAAGATAAATTTAGCTAATCCTAATCTATTACCGTAATCAAATAAGCGACAAATAATTGCAATAAGCAAAAAAAAATCGAAAAACTCGCCTCCGTCCATCCGCATACAGTACTCCTTGTCGGCGCTGGAAAATGGATATGGAATCTTATTACCAGCATGTTTTATAAACTCACAAATTACCATAAAGATAAAATTAACATTCTTTTACCGCTTAAGTTTAAGTGATACCGTAAAATACACACTTTTTAACGCATCCGGTCTTTCGCGTGGTCGTGGCGTCATCCAGATCGTAGTACTCCCACAGCGCCTCGCCCAGGAACTTTCTAAAAATAATTCGATGTTTCATCAAAATTCACTAACAGAAATCTTTCAGCTCTGCGATTCCACTTCCATGAATGAAATAATGTTTTGCCAATAATTAGGATTCCAGGAAAGGCTCCAGAATTAGTCAGTGCACGCGCGCATCAGTTTCAGAAAACTTTTAAAGGGGCACCGAAGTCTCGGCCCGCAGCGTCGATTCCTGGCAAATGGCCAGATGCGCCCGCGACCGCTTCGTACGCTTTTTTCTGTGTTTCGACGTGTAAAACGTTTGAATTTCAAAATTCTGATGCAACTCCTGGAATTGTCCAGGTATTACGATTGATGATTATCGGCGCTGTACTGGGCATTCCGACTACTTGATCCGCCCCTCCAAAGACGCGAAAGTTACACTCGCACAAAACATTCCCTATATCGCAATTTTTTCACGTTTTTCGCAACGAAATAATTTTGCCGATACTTGTAGGGACTAGCCTTTCAATCTTTGACTCATGGGTTCGATCCTGTGCACACAACTTTCGACATCTTGGCCGTTCATGGTTCTACAAAATTGACGTACATAACGGCAGCGAGTGGCGGTTCGCTTTTGTCGTCGGCGGGTTGTGCGCCTGCTGGGCTGAGGAGGTGGGTCGTCATCGTGCCCTGGAAATAGAGAGTGAGCGAGAAAGTGAGAGGGAGGGAGGGGGAGAAAGAGACAGAGCCAGAGAGAGAGAGAGAGAGAGAGAGAGAGTGAAATAGCGAGAGAGCGCTAAAATATACCCCATTCTTCATCTTGTGCGATAGACGAGTTTGTGGATAACTGGAGACGACCAGCGTCATCAACCCCAGCGGCATCGGGGCGATCGAGGACTTCAGGTAGGCGTACTTCGTGCTAGAAGCAAACTGAGCGTTTTGTACGTGGCGGCCGATTGGTAGTCGGCTAGCTTTTGAGCCGCACCACCCGGGTTCGATTCTTTGCGGAGCAAAAATTGTTTTTTTTTTGATTAGCGCTTTTTCCGATCAAGTTTACGTCGAAACTTAAGTCCTAAACAGGCTATTGCCCCCCCAAAAAGCAATAAGTTCAGCACGGGCCGGGGTCCGAACCCGGGCCTCGTGGCTGATAGGCAAGCACACAACCACTTGGCCATCCCGGGTGGCCGATTGGTGGCGGGTTGGGTTGTCGGGTGTACTACCTGGGTTCGAACCCCGCCATAGTGAAATTTTGCTTTTTGCCGAATCCAATTAATTTGAACTTTTGCATGATTGACAAAAAGAGCCCACCCGCCGTTCATGCTGTAGATCCCGTAATTCCACAGGCATCGCTTGTCCTCGTCCACCTCGCACGCACCCGACCAGCGCGTCTGCAAAATTGACAAAATTCGACGGAACCAGGAAAAGTGTAAGCACTTTGCTTTTTGCTTCAAAATAGCGTTGGGGCCAAAATAGGCACGGGGATGACGAATTGTATCGAATTCGCCGGTTTCAACTACTCAAAATTCTGAAACATACCGGCTGCTCGAGGGCCTCGATGCCGGGGAAGAGGTGACGGCCGGAGATCGGGCCCGGCATTGTGTAGATGAGGTCACTGTAGAAAAAGTGTTAGTTTGCCTTAGAAAAACCGAAAATACCCATTTTCCGTGCGCACGTTGACGAGACCGGCCCGACGACGGTCCACCCGGTCGTCGTTCAGCGTTTGCGACACTTTGAACTGAACAATCAAGAAATCCTTAGCAGTAAAATCCACAAAAATGTCTTGTCAGTGCCTTTAAAAATTCCAATTTCGCCGAAAAAGCGACCTTGACAACGAGTACGGTCGGCGGTATCATACGGCCGAATGCGAGGGCGATTTGGCTCTGGTTTGGGCGCAACTCGATGCGGGCATCCTCGTATTTCATGTCGTCCGTCGGCTAAAAAAGAGAGGTTTCTTCGAATTCCACAAAGACTCTCTGCTATCTCTCCGCTGGCGCTAAAATCAAATTAAAATTAAGATGTTTCGCCCAAATCATGAAAGAATGGCAAAATACTAATCGTAGTTGGTTTTTTCTCGCAGATTTTATGATTTTGTTATGATATTTTTATAACTAAAACTGTGTACACTTTATAAAAATTGACTATTTTCTGTTGTATTTCCTTGAACTCATTCAATTTTTCTTCATAAATTTCGAAATGTAGCTATTCCAATAAGAAAAAATATATGTTTCAGCACTCACTACATTAATACGAAATTTCTGATTTGATAGTACCACCCAATTAACGCCTGACAAATTTCTCCTCAGCGATGGTCCATTCCTTCTTCCAGGTCTTCTCGTCGTAGACGATGAACTTCGCCTCGTCGATATGCAAATCCTTCGAGCAGTGGAGCAGCAGGGCCGAGTGAGGGGGGAATCCGGCGGGTCAGCTAAATTTATGACGTTTGATGCCGATTTGATGACTGCGATCATGCGATATTGTCAAAGATACAAAACCGGCTCTTAAGGGACTAAATCAAACTTTTTTTTTGGAAAAATTGGCGACATTTTAAAAGCATCTTTTTCAAGAAATTTTTTTTGCAAGACTTTGCAAAACGCCTAAAGGAAATTTAAGTTTGGCTTTCTTCTATTATCAGGTGGTGGGTACCAAAAAAGTATTAACTTTTTTAAATTGTCAAAAACACTAAAATATCGATTTTTCTACCTAAAATGAGATTTTCGAAGAAAATTTCAAAAATTTTAAGTTGTTTTTAGAAAGTTTTTCGCTTGAAATCTAGATAAACGTGATGAAAATCACTATTAAAATACTTAATTTTATGCTACTAAATGCTCCAGACCGATAGGAAAAACGACGGTGATATTCCTTAATTTTTGTCTTGCCATTGTTGAAAACATTTTATCTTCATCTAGACTTCGAAACGAAACGTTTAGTTTTAGCCTAAAAAGTTCCAAAAACGCTAGACTACAGCACTGACCACAATTTTGTACGAAATCTCGGCGTTGTAGGCGGGCTTCTTGATGTCGCCGTCTTTCAGGTGCAGCGAGGGCTAGAAAAATTCAAACATTTAAAATCTGAAAGTTGACTTTACCGTGATCTTGAAAAAGCCGTAGATGACCGTGGCGCCCGGGTCGGTGTGGTTGTAGATGAGCGGCTCGAGGGGGCGAAGTAACGGAGGACTAAAAAAAAAAGTTTTTTACTGTTCTAAAGGGAACTGTAAACTCAAGGTTCCTATGGATTTTCGGAAATGGCAAAGAATCTCTGCCAGCTTGCTCTGATCTATTTATTCAACATGCCTTCTGATTGCTACTGGCAACTTGGTTTCTCGTTCATTAGCGGGGGGGGCATCGGGAAAGGCCACGCCCGCGCTCCTTGCCCAATAGGCCTATTCCCCCCCCCGCTAAGGAACCAGAACCACAATTTTTTCCCGAATTTCCCCCAACACAGGGATCAAATTTCCAAAAAAGAGCATATCATTATTCGCCATTTTTAAAATATTTGGTTTCAAAATTCTGGTTCATCTTAAAGTTTTTTGAATTTATTTAAAAATCTACCGGTTGACTTCGGAGCTCGCCTCCAGCAGAGCGACTGAAAAAAAAATGTTACGACTAAACGTCAAGACGATTTTTTTGGTACGGTCATTAATTCCTCGCAGCCTGACTCCGCGAACTAAATAATGGATTGGATGATCATTTTTTGATGATTTTGTTTATCTAATAGTATGTATTTTACTGGAGTTTCAAATAACTATTATTTAACTATATTTCAAGCGGAAATCAGTGCCGTTCAAAGACGGGCATTATCGTCGAAAATCGCTATTTATTGTGTGTTTCGAGAATATGGTCTTCGAATTCGAACGTTAGAATGTTTAGATTCGGTTTGTTGCATTTCTTGCGCTAGAAAACCGTTTGCTAAAATGTTACAAATTCGTCGCGTATGCTGCAGCCGCAGGACGCAACGCGCGAAACAGGCATGAGCTCGAGTTCTCCCGCCTGCCTGCCTGCTGCTCCTCTCTCTCTCTCTCTCTCTCTCTCTCTCTCTCTCTCTCTCTCTCTCTCCCTCTCTCTCCCTCTCTGTGCCGCTGATGCTCAGACAGATGAAACGTACACTGCTTGCGCTCTGCCTCCAGTTCATCGGCGGTCCATTTCGGCTTCTCTCCAGGCTCTTGCCCCTTCACATAGCCGTCTGACTGAAAATCAATGATAAAAATCAATGTTCCGTCAATTTACACTAGCTGGCTGGGAAAAAATAAGTTAGTGGTGCGGTGATCTTTAGCAGGGGTTGACAACGGGCCCGGCCCGTTGTTAAGGTCTGATCTTTAAATAAATTTAAAAAAATTATCTGACGGCGATGCGTTGCAAAATCACTGCAATTCTGACGAATTTAGCTTTTCTGCACTATTTTTAATTGGCATTAGCTTAAATGAACTACTTGTTGCGGGGGCAACTAATTTTTGTTTTTCGCTCGTTGCCTACCTGTTAATAATAAAATGAATTTTTTTTTTACCCCCCCCCCAAGGAGGTTAAAAAAATTTTTTTTTTTTTTTTTTTTTTTAATAGTTTTTTAAAAAATAAAAAAAAAAAAAAATTTAAAAAAAAAAAAAAATTAATTTAAAAAAAATAAAAAAAAAAAAAAAAAAAAGTTAAATCAAAAAATTCCCCGCGGGGGGAAGAAAAAAGCAGCATAATAATTGCTGTATTTTTATAATGTTATCGTAGTTTTTGTTGCCAGAAAATATAAAAATATTTTGAAAATGCCGAAACTTTGAAAATTTTGATCTTTCTTGGTAATTTGCATCCATTTTTGACCAAAAATTCGAAAATGTTCGAACATTTTACGATGAGCTTTTTATATCTAAAACAACTGTGTGCAATGCTACAAAAATTGTTTAGATTTTGTTATAGGACCGCGCGGGATAACTGGGAAAAATTAGCTTTCCCCTGCTAAAATCCCCCCGCTAACAGACCAGTACCCAGTTTTATCACGATTTCAATTTGAAACATACGCTTGCAGCCCTGGTGAACCGCTCGACGGGCTTCTCATGGTCCCAGCCAACTTAAAAAGTTCCGTCAACATTCATGACTAAGACTCCATACAAATTTCGGCAATCTCCTCCTTCCACTCGTCGAAAATGTCGCTGCCGCTGGCGCCTAATTACATGGTATCTCAGCAACTTCATCAAAAATTACCATAAAACTGGATGCACCCGACAAATAGCCATAGCCAGGCGTGGACACGCATTTTCTGCAAGATACAAGGAATTTGTAAAGGAACGAAACTTACCGTTGCGCGAAAGATGCGAATTGAAGGTACCAGATTTTTAGCAATTTTTGGTCCCACAAAATTTCCGGATACAGATTTGATGCTAATCATTTGAAATTCAGATATGGTGTCTTTTGTTGTATTTACTGCTTTTTGTAATGTTGTATACCGGATGTGAAAAAACACCCGTAACATTCACTCAACTTTCTGGAGTGTGAATTCGTGAAAACATACGTGGTGAAACTCTTTATTGTTTCGAAAAGGGCTTCGGTATAATCCTGGTAGCTCTATAGTCCTGCCATGCTACTCAGCGATGGCTCGCCAGTCGGCCAACTTTTTGGCATCGACCGTCACGCCGCTGGACCCCGTGACGGTCTGAAACAATGACATTGCGTGTATCAAAAAGTGCCTTACCCGAAGGGCTGCTTGTAACACCCCCTGGAACTCATTGATGTACTGCTGATTTGGCGGAACAGCCACCTAGAATCATGGTTGAGGTCCTGCAACACATTCGGAGACGTAGCGTAATTCCGGTCCCAGTAAAATACATTATGTGTTTTTTTTGCTTAAAAATTTTCGGTTTGTTGTTTTTTCTGACTATTTTAAATGGTGGAAAACCTATTCCCTGGCCAGTTTTGAAAATTGAAAGGGTTAAAAGAGGCTGAGGATACCAGAATTCATGCATTTTCACGCCCAAATCGTGAAAAAGAGGGGGTGGACCAGATTTCGGAGCCTCTTTAATTTACCTTCTCCATTACAAAGGTAAATGCCCATTCATTGATCAATGTGCCGCCGCTGAGCCTGTTTTGGGTGACAAATTGCGAGGTAGCAGTTTCTTTGGTGCAAACACCATCTGAAGTTGCGGGGAATATTTGGCGCAAACCCCTATACCTTTGTTATCTTTGCTAGCGGCGGCATCTGCCACAACGACTTCGCAGTAGTAATTCTGAAAATTATCATCGTCCGTGCGCTTCTGCACTCCACATTACGCTCCACTCCATATCTCCAAACTACGGACGTCGGCTTTAAAAAAGTCGACCCCCTCGAGCGGTTCGGATACATTTTCACACCATTCGAAAGCTTTCGAAAAGGCGAAAAACAAGCGCTCTTCGCTTTACAATTTTTTTCCACCAAGAAAACAAGCGCATTTTGTCCTAAACATTTTTTTGGGCCGCGTTAGATATTAAACGAATTCTTAAAGAAGCGTAAACCCAGTGTCGTCCTGTTAGCTTGAGCAAGCAATTCACCCGGGGATTTTGCATAAAAGCTGCAGTTTCATGGATTTTGGTCCAAAATTTACTGGATTAAAATACCTATATTGAAAATCGAAAAGTGCTTGTTTTCTCGAAAGCTTTCGATAAATGCCGAAATCGTCACAATCGGACAAAACTGCCGCCCGCTAGAGGGTTTTTTTGGGATGCCCTGCAGAGGCAATCACCACGGAAACGTACCGGAAGGGTTAGGGGCGTGACGTTCTGGAGGTTGGCGGTATCGTAGCTGGTAAGACGACCGTCCTTTTTCTTGGCCAAATCGAACTATAAAGAGTAACTTGCGTCATAGCACCGACTCACCGCCTCGACCAAGCTCTTCCTAATCGCCGACCCACGAAGTGCAGCGGAAGCGCTCGACGGGCCCACCCAGGCCACGGGGATACTGTACTTAACTCTCACTTCGATCGGGGGCGAGTAACTATTTCCTAAAACGATCATGGTAGTGTTCAGCTATTTATCAGAAAGTTTGCGCGCAATATCAGGTTTCAAAGCTTTTTCACCGGTTCTTTCGCATTATCGGGGGGAGTGGGAAGAAATTTTTTGTATTAAGCTAGAAATGCTTAGTACCTTAATGGGACGTATTTCCATAATGCTCGTAGTAATTTAAACCTCTGTTTTAACAAGAACAACTACCTTAAAAATTCGCAGAGTTTTAAAAAGCTGAGACTTTGATCAGAAAATGGGCCATATTTGGTCGGAAAATTTATATTTTCTTCTATTTTTACGTTTAGGGATCGTAAAAAACAATTTAGAAACAGTTCCGCTAATTACATTTGAAAAATTGGATGTGTTAGAAGAGTTCTCAAATCGAGAGTCTTGATATGAGTCTTGGCAACGCGTTTCTTTGAAATCGACGATCCATACCCGAGATACAGCATTGGCAGACGCCAGCCAGGAGGGCAACATAGACAATCTTGGCGAGCATTTTTCAAGGTGTGATCGCAGTCGGGGCTCGAGCCCTTTTATATCGCCCGGAGTAGGGTCGACTTCGGAATTTCGGATTTGTCAGCCCATCTTGCCGTGGTTTTCCGGTCTTTGACAAAATCACTGGCGATGAAAAGGACGGTCGGCCACCTTTGAATTCAATCTGAAACCGAAAGTTCCATCTATTGAACGCGCCGGGAATTGGGGGGTGGTTATTATATTTTTTTTTGTATTTGTCATACAGCGACACGTCATCCTTCGGCAGTGTTAATCACGGAAATTTCAAAATGCAGGAGATTGGCAGATTCGGAAACGCAGTACCGAAAAAAAGAGACTTGACGCCCTAGTAAATGTCGTAAACATGTAATTTCTGGCCCTGTGCTTCGAAAAGTCTAAGCCTGGTCAACTTTTTGATTAGGATTCGATTTTTGTCGGATCGATAGACTAAGGGTACTTAGACTGTTTTTTTTTACTTCTTTTAAGCGTAAAACTCTACGAATTGTTATTAAAACCACAAAATGTTGATTTTGCGACCAAATAATGACGATTTTCGGCGCGTATTTCTCAAAAAATAATAATTCAAAAATTTTTAATGCAATAAAAACTTTACAAATTTTATTTAAGCCAACAACAAAATTTTCTGCCAAAAAAGCGGTATTCGAGCTAAGATTAGAAATTTTTCCAGTTTTGGGACAGTTTTTGTACCTGAAACTCTTTCCCTTTCTCTCTCTCTCTCTCTCTCTCTCTCTCTCTCGCTCTCTCCTTCCCTCACTCTGTCGTTTCATTCTGATATCATCATGTCGAAATATCGTCAAATCGTCAAAATACCATAGCTAATATTAAACTTATTATGTACTCCCTAGTATACCAATTGTTTAAACCTATAGGAAACTAATAGAATCGGCTGATTCTGGCATAAAAAAGACGTTTCTTGGCGGAAAAGCATCATCCTTCTTTGAACTTTTTTAATATCAATTCTTCGCACGTCATTTGATGAAATTCCCGAATTAATTTGGAAACGTCTATAAAAATCAAAGCGTTAAAGGGGCTCCGAAATGTGGTCCACGGCCCCTCAGCGTTGATTCCTGGAAAATAGCCAGATGGAGCCGCAACGCGACCGCGTCGCACGAGCTTTTGCCCCTGTTTGGACGTGAAAACGCTTGAATTTAAAATTTACGAAGCTATTTCTGGAATCATCATCGAATTTTGATCGTTCTAGAGTTTTTAATTATAAAAATTGACCAGAGAATCGCCGAGATCGAGAGATTGGCTGCCGTACAAGGCACACAAAAAGTCGTTTTCGCCTCGAGAACATTTCGGTTTTACACAAATATTTTACAGTTTTTCGCAATCAAAAAACTTGTCTGGGATTTCTCGGCAGTAACCTTTCGTTTTTTGACCAGTAGGTTCAATTCCCGCACACACGTATTTTGACTTCCGTGCCCCTTTAAAGTCGCGTCCAGATTTGGTGCCTCCGTTTCCGTGCTTTCTGATTAGTTGCCGTGGTACGTGTATCTTTGAGGGAAAGGACAGATTCGTCGAGTGTCAGCCAGTATTTCGTGTGGGTTACCGGGCGGGTCCTCAAGAAAGATCGCGCAACGCGTCTTTTGCCCGATACTTTTCAAAATCCCCCCCAAACCGCAGAGACAAACAGCATGGAAACACCGATCACGCCATCATCACTACTCTTTCCCTCCCGCTTCTGACCCATCCCTTGGCCCCCGACAGCAGCATTTGTTTACGTTGAAAAACGACTGTTTGGGTGGGAGGGAAAAATGTGTTGCATCAATCGGGTATAGGTTCTGCCCCGGGATCAACGATAATTGTGAGGTCATACATATAGGCATACACCCAAAATTAGCGGCAATAAAGCCATAAGCAACGCGGCGATCCTATCGACTCAAAAATGTATGGACTCAAAACTTCTAGGCCTTATAACTCTAACACTAAGGCGAGTCTTAAAAAAAAGCTTGTTCCAACTGTGTAGAATGGAACTTGGCAATTCTAATGAGATGCCATCTTAATGGACATTATTCGAAAGCATGTTAACATTATTCGAAAGCGCTTGAAAAACTGAACAAGATCCCGTTTTCCATTTCTGCGAAACGATAGCGATTGATTTTTAATAATTAAATTAAAGAATTAGCAGAAATTGGCATGGTTCCCCTGGCGCGGAGCGATTTCCTTCCAAAACTCCCCTCTCGCGGAAAGCCAGGCCCCGTCTTCCCTTTCCCATAGCGATTTGGCGCAGTCGGTAGAGCGTTTGCCTCCCACGAAATTTTTTTGGACTTTTTGTCGGTTCGACCCCTAGGCCCAGAATTCGTTTTGCTTTTTAATTTTTGTAATGTGGAATCTATGGTATCGTTCGAACCTTAAAATTCTACTCTACAATAGTTGAGATTGAATTTTCAAAATTAAATCGGTTGGAAAAAGTTATAAGAGCTTAAACGTTTTGGAGCGCGTTACGCCCGGCTCCTATCGACGCTTTTGCGCTTGTCGGCACATTGCCGTTTTGGGCCTGTTTGATTGGACGTGGGCAATCAAAAGAAAATAATCAGATTTACAGTCAAAAAACTGCTGGCTAAACAACGAAAGGGCTGCTGCTGAAAAGTAACAGAAAATAGATATCATTGCAAGAAATTACAAAATCATTGAGAAAAACGGAAAGATTGGGGCCGGGGGGGCGAAAGCGATTTACTGTAAAATGACTAGGTTGAAATAGGTTGAAAATTCCATTCTGGACCTTGTTTATCTTGGGCAGTTTTTTGCCGACACGGAATCACGTTTCCGGATTTGCTGAAAGGCCCGATGTCAAAAGTTATAGCAGATGCTGCTACTGTATATGTCTGCTACGCGGCGGGGCTTTTGTGGTCAACCCAAATTTTTTTTGCATGATTTTGGCAACAAAAAAAAATGAAAACAAGAAAGCGCAATATTTTTCGACGGGGTTTGCTTATACTTCCGAAAACCGGACTCCCGAAAATTGGTTTCGCGAAAATCGGAGTCCCGAAAAATCTAGCACCGAAAATTCTGATATCATTTATTTTATGAAACATTTTCTCGAAATTTTTCCGGTTTTCCGATTTCAGAATTGCTCCCCTCAATTTTTTATAGATTTTTTATTTGGACAGTTGAACGACAGCAAATCACTTATTTTGCCAACCGGTAATTCATTCATTTTCATGAAACTTTTTCTCGATATTTTTCCGTTTTTTTTTAGAATTTGGCTGCAATATCTGTGCTCTGTTCCGTTGACACCTCGATGAGTTGGCAGGTCCAGAATCCATCAAATCATCTGGCGAGTCAGGAGGTTTATTTCGAGCCCTCCATTAACTCCCTCTTTTCCGCGGCCGTTCTATTGACAGGCCGATGGTGATGACCGTACTGGCGTCAATGACTCTTTTATTGGACTGTCTGTGTGCCGCGGCTTTTGCCGGTGATGTGGCGGCTGATGATGTTGACCTTTCGACACCTCTTCCCTTCTCTACAGTCCGTTCCACACCTCTAATTGCGGCCAAAAAGTTGCCCCGATCAACCGTCTCCGATAGGTGCCCCGTCAA